CAAATGACCCTTGGACTGACAGGTTTTATAATACGACAAAGAGCTGGGTCTACCCACTCTCGGGTGCAAAATTGATCGACAATTCCTGTGCGTTTCCAATGAGCAGATTGCATACGACATAAACTAATATCTTGAGTACAGTGAACTGGAGGTTTGATCTCGAAGTGAAGGATGATTGCGTATATCATCATAACCACCAGTGTACATACGTCAATCCAACCCAGAGCACGATGATACACAGTCCCACTCCGGCGTACAGAATCCTGGGAAGGCGACCAATGCGGACAGCTCGGTTCCAGAACCGTTTGAACCACCGATTGCTGTACTTGGGGACCGGAGTGTTGCCCCTGCTAAAGTCTACAGCGGGATATTCCATGAATAAGACTATGGTGCTCGAGCAAGAGTTAAATACCTTGTTGATTTATTTGGTCCGTGGATAGCAAGTGTTTCTCATCGGCGAGGGAACTCTTGGTGGGGACCTGGAGTTCAATGTCGTGAAGCTCTTCGGGAGCCTTTGCAGAAGAGTTGAAAGGGACTATCACTCTGTTTAATATAACATGCTTCATTCCCTTGAGAGATACTTACCGGAGGGGAGAGTAGCCATGAGGAAAAGATAGAAAGGGGAGAGAGTGAGCGTCGCGCACCCCCATCGTCTCGGTCGTCCTCTTGTTATATAACGAGGAAAAATCCCATTTCAAATGGTCCCTGATTAAGGGCGAGGTCCGCCTTTTTGGCCCAGAGTCGGGACAGGAGTCAAGAAGGAGTGGTCCAAAAGTGACATGACAAGCGCGCATGTTCTACTCGTTGATTGATTGCGAATACATTTCGGTGTCAATCTGTCGCTCTCGTGATAGCGTCCTTATGGCCGGCAGATCCCTAATGCCTGTCAGCTCAACCCTGAGCGGAAGGCGAAAAAAGCCCTGAACGGCAAGGAAACAAAGGAATCGCCCGCCGATACTGTGCCTCAATCGCTTGTGCTGACTCAGATTTGATGCTAAAATCCTAAAAGAGACGGAGATTTTGTTGTTCGAACGCCGA